TCAAGAAAGGAAAGCACCTGCAAAAAGAGAAGTGGGAATGCCCCAACCTAATAAGCCCTGTGGGTTCATACTGATTGACTTGAAAGGCCCACTACCAGAAACACCAACTGGAAATCAGTATTTGCTGGCAGTCTAGGACACTTACCCAAAGTATGTGGGGGAGAAGTCCCTGAAGGATAAAAGGACTGATAAACTTACGGCTGCATTGATGAAATATGTAGTGTTGCAGTTTGGCCAACCAAGCAGCATCTGCAATGATCAGGGGAAAGAATCTGAATCACAGTTATTATACAAGGTTTGCCAGCTAGCAACTCCAGGTAACTAAGGTGAGGACCAGTGTAGCCCACTCTGCGATTAATGGGGGAGTAGAGAGAGTAAACTGCACCATTGGTTCTATGCTTAGAGTATTAGTTAGTGAAGACCAACGAGACCGGGTTTCTACAACAACTTTTGTTATCTTTGCATAAAACACCAGCCAGCATTCAACTATCTATTACTTCCCTTATGAGATTGTTTATGGACTCCACAAATCCATGCTTCCCTGGGACTTCATGTTCTGGCAACAAGAACTGATAAGGCCCCCTGCACCTTCACAGGTGAGAACATAAGTGCTGTCTCCAGGGCTGGAGCACCCACGGAAAGAAATCAGCGGGTGCTTAGCACCCACTAGCAGCCAGCTCCCCCTCTCCCCTCCAGTGCCTCCCGCCCGCCAGCAGCCCTGCTGATCAACTCCTCCCCCTCCCTCCCAGTGCCTCCTGCCCACTGCAGTCAGCTGTTTCACAGCATGCAGGACGCTGTGGGGTGGTGGGAGGAGCAAGGGTGCGGTGTGCTCGGAGGATGGGGCGGGAGAGGTGGGGAAAAGGTTTCGGGGTGCGGTGCGGGCAGGAAGAGACGGAGTAGGGACTTGGCAGAAGGGGTCAGGTGGGGGCAGGGCCGTGGGTGGAGCAGGGGGTTGAGCACCCCCGGGGCCCGGAGGAAGCCGACACCTGTGGGTGAGAGAGACAGCGAAGACTTATATCGGTGGCCTGAGGACAGCGTTTCTAAAGGTAGAGGAACAGATGTGCCAGAAATGAGCATGGCAGGCCTAAGATACCAGGAAAAAGGAGCATTATGTGGCCATCCAGGAAGGAGGGAAGGTGTAGCTATGCAACAGGAAAAAGCAGCCTTGAAAAAATCCTATAGTCCTTTTTGGGGGGGACCTTACACAGCAATTTAAAAATTAAACACCTTATCTTTGCTGATACTAAAAGCAAGAGCTTGCTCCTTTATAGTGCATCGAGAACTGGTGCACAGATTCATTGAAGGGGTGTGTGGGGGGGTGCAAACACTGAGGATGTTCAACAACCATCCCAGAGGAATGCAGAGGAGGATTTGGAGGTACCTCCGCATGTTTCTGTGTCTTGTAATGGGAGACCAGTTGTGAAGGCGGAATTGCCAAGGTATCCTCAGAATCGCAACAGACTGCAGTTCTCAGACAGTCTGTCCACAACAGATAGGTATAACCTGAGGACATGAACTCTGCATTCACTAATCAGCTAAATCAAATTATGAGTGATGTCTCCATGAATATAGGAATTGAGTGGGCAGATCAACATGGAACTTGTGGGGATGGCAGACTGCCTGGAATCATAGGAGTTTCTGTTTTAAATTCGTATTCCATTAGAGGGGGAAAAATTTTAATGATCAGTGTAGACAATATCGCCACCAATGGATGGTGATGTATCTTTATGGTGGTATTAAGTTATTGTCTTGCATGTTATTGTGTAATTGCATGTGTTCTGAGGGATTTAGCAGAAAACTCAGCCCTACCTGTGCATGCAGGAGTTGGTACTTACAGTGTGTCGATAAATCCCTGTGATTCTATAAGTGAGTATTATACAATGTAGACATTTGTACCAAAGTTATGCCATAATTCAAAAAGAATAATAGACTGTGACTTTGTCTTCTCCATTTGACTTACCAAAAAATCAGTAGTTTCCTTAAATAAAGTTGCTTTTATGCTATTTCATAGCAATTTCATATGTGGTATGGTGTGGAAAGTGGAGAGGACTAGAAGGAGTTGCAGAGCTTGGAGAAAGGAGAAACTGAACGTAACCAGAATGAACACACTATATTTGTTCTCATAGGCAAAGCACATAACCAAATTCAAAAGAAATTGGATTTTTACAGGGAGATTTTTAAAAGACATAGATGGCAGCAAGGTGCCCAACTCCCACTGAAAGTCGAAGTTTAGTTAAAAACTAAACTGAGATCATTTAAATAAAAAGTAATAAGGCCTGTAATAATGTGTAATTTAGACCCAGGCTTAAATGGGTTTAAATTATATTAATGTGATTATACTGAAAGAAGTAATGAAGTAGATGAACTATTGACAAAAATATGTTGTTTACTCCTAAAAACCCATGCTGCATGCATTTGGGATAAAGGTGGATTGATGGTCTTGTGGGGTCTAAGTGTGCATTTCTGATTTGGGTGTTGGGTTGTTGGGATATGGATGGCCAGTTGATGCTGTTACTGTGGGATAGTCCATTAATTAAGCAAAGCATATGGTATTTTTTAGATTTTATATTGAACTTTGTATTTTTAATAATGTGAAGTGCCTAGAGTCTAAAATAGGTGATGGAAAAATCTAAATAAATGCTGTACTAGAGGACTGGAAGATAGTTAGTTGTACACCCAGCATTTAAAAAAATGAAATATATTATTATTCTGGGAATTATAAACCGGGATGACCCTTTCCTTAGTACTGGGAAAAATAGTGGTGAAAATAATTAAAATGTAGGATCTCCTACACTAAATGAGTATAATGTGATATTGGTGAACTGTCATGATTTCTGTAGGAATAAATTATCTAACCAGACAGAATTATTTGAAAAAATTATCCAAATGATGTGATGATTGATTGATTCATTTATTTTAGACTTTCAAAAGGCTTTTGAAAACCTTCCTTCATGCAAGAAAAAGAAGCTTCATAACCACAGGGTAAAGTCCAGTGCTTAATCTGTGCCAGGGCTTGCCATGGCTGACCCCTTGCACCTCTAGGCTTGGCAATTCATAGCCCTGGCACCTCTGGGCTTGCTGCATCAGTTATGAATGTAAAAAAATTGTGCCCCGGCACCTCTTTCATTACAAATTAAGCACTGGTAAAGTCCTATAATCAATTAAAAAGTTGTGTGGTTCAACACTGGAAGGGGCGGGGGAAAGGGCGGACCATGGCCACTGGGAACTGCGAGCGGCCGGACCTGCAGACGCTCAGGTAAACAAAGTGTCTCGTGGCCCGCGAGGGGCTTACCCCGAACAAGCCGTGAACCAAGTTTGGGAACCCCTGGACTAGATGATCATAATGATCCCTTCTGGCCTTACAATCTATGATAATTATTAGAAAACTAGGAAATTCAGAGTCATGTTACAAGTAACTTAAACAAATATTATCTTGTAAAACAAATAAATAAACATTAAAAATGACAAATAACATTCCAAAACATACAAACATTTCAAAGTATGGAAGTTCACAGGTACCCAAAGTACTGTAACTCTGCTGTGTAAAGATGCCAGCCTCTCCACCTTCTCTTCTTCATGGATGAAGTGCATCACAGAACATTGGTTTCAAAATTGCGTTCATAAATATGCCATCAAACTAATCTTTTTCTCTTTTCTTGTTGTTGCTGTAATTTCTTGAACTGGACATAGGAGGATTTCTATGTAGACATGCTACCATATTATATAGTGACACTTAGGTTATTGGCTGCCACATGGAATAATAGAGTAAATTGTATGTGGTGCAGAGGTACCCTCATCACTTTATAGGTTATGTCCTAAGTAGGGCTTTCAAGGAAGGAAAGGAAAAAAATTAATCATGATTAATTGCACTGTTGATAAAAGAGCACCATTTATTTAAATATTTGTGGATGTTTTCTACATTTTCAAATATATTGATTTCAATTACAACACAGAATACAAAGTGTACAGTGCTCACTTTATATTTATTTTTATATAAAATATATCAATTTTATTTATATCAAATATTTGCACTGTAAAAAACAAAAGAAATAGTATTTTTCAATTCACCTAATACAAGTACTGTAGTGCAATCTTTATCATGAAAGTTGAACTTACAAATGTAGAATTATGTACAAAAAAACTGTATTCAAAAATAAAACAGTGTAAAACTTTAGAGCCTTCAAGTCCATTCAGTCCTACTTCTTGTTCAGCCAATTGCTCAGACAAACAAGTTTGTAAACAAGAAGCGGGCAGCATTATCTCCTAAAGACAAAGATGCGCTAAAGATTCATATGTCTCTTGACATAGGTCCAGAGACGCATGTCCTCTGGAATGGTGATGAAGGAGCATATTAATGCTTAGCATATCTGGCACCTAAATACCTTGCAATGCTGGCTACAAAAGTGCCATGTGAATGCCTGTTCTCACTTTCTGGTGAGATAAATAAGAAATAAATAAGAAATAAGAAGCGAGCAGCATCATCTCCCGTAAATGTAAACAAACTTGTTTGTCTGAGCAATTGGCTGAACAAGAAGTAGGACTGAATGTACCTGAACTAGTGGCCAGGCAAACTTTGTCAAGCTCATCAACATCCAGGTGAACTTCCCAAGGATGATCAGAGTCCTCAGAGAACCTTACAAAGGTCATCACAAACCAACATATCACTCTGGTTTTCCTACTGTGGTGTGTATTGACCATTAAAATGTGACCATTGGGTTCAGAAATGTCACTTTGTACACCACATCTCTGTCAAATTAGTCTAATAAACATAATTTTAACTGTTTCTTACTGTCCATGCTCAAGTTTGTTCTCTCACTAAAAGAAGAATTTTCTGTCCGGGGAATAATTGTTTCCACCAAAACTGAAATTATTCTCTATCTGTAGGTGAAAGAGGGCTAGAAACTTAATTTTAGAAAAAAAATACAAAATTATAGACTGCATAAATATTTTAAAATGTATTTTAGAGTTGAGAAGATAATCATGTTTCTTTTTCTTCCCAGCTATTAATAGGCTATGAAAATGGGACAGTAGTACTCTGGGACTTGCGATCAAAAAGAGCAGACTTAAGAGTTTATTATGATGAGGTAAGTAGTTCCCACTCATTCAGAGTAAAGGACAATTCAGTAGTCTTTTAAGAAGCAGAAGATATGTCTGAAAGGCATTGTTAGTTTTGGAAATGCAATATACTATAGTACTTAAAGCCATGCCACCTTGGCAGTAGGTGTCAAAACCTGGGATCTCCAAGTCTGAATGCATGTGCTGTTACTGCTTGAGCTAAAAGACCCAGCTCTCTAGCCAGTGCTGGAGCAGACTCATCATCCTCTGTGTGGTTTACTTACCACTAGAGGGGGACAGAGCACCACACCGAGCATGCATGTGTACAACAAGAGCTGTATGAATAACTGATTTTTTGGTTTCACTGGAAATTCCGAAAAAATTTAAAAAATAGTTTTGGATCAAAATTTTTTAAAAATACAATGGAAGGAAATTTCTAAACAAAAGAATCTCAAACTGAAAAATTGAAACATTTCATTTTGACTTTTTTGGAATTTTTTTTGCTTTTTTTAAAACATGAACAATTTAGTGTAACTGATGAGAATTTTTTGGTTTTGTCACATCTACATTTTTGCCTAAGAAAAGTTTCAGCTCTAGTTACAACTGTATTTAGGAAGTACACTGCATTGTTATCATTACTGGATAGTTCTACTTCATAAGTTAATATCAAAGGCAAGTTATTAAATAGGTTTTATATATTACACAAAGACCCAGAGGCTGAGTAGCAGTTGGTTTTAGTATGTAATATTCTTACGTATCTCTTTCAATTTGTAACTAAGTTGGAAAATCAGATGAAGATTCAGCTCTTGTGTTCCACAGAATTCTTTTTAAAAATACGAATGATTATTTGGAGAATGTTTCATATGTACATGGCATTCAGCAAAACACAAACAGACTGGATAACCCAACTCAGAGAAATACAAATATAGCTCATGGATAACAGAAAGAGATAAAAGGAGATTTCTGGGAGGATATTCATGCAGGAACTGTTTTTTCACCCCTCCTCCCTATTTTTTTTTAAATGTATGAAGAATACCTAAATAGTTGGGGGGAGGGTTCCCAACTTTAAAAATTGTCTGGGCAGGAGTCTCATCCCTGGGTCTTGTATTCCTTAGTGTGAGGTGGACAGAAATCCCACAAGATCTAAGATTCTTGTTCCCTGAAGGCAGTGGTATTGGATCAGCTTGTGAGCCATCTCCCTGTTAGCACATAGGTAATAGTTCAGTGTCTTCTGGATCGTTAGGCAGAGATGGACGAGGAATCTGTACGCCCTTCTGATGGGCAGAAGAATTGAGTGCAAATCAACATTTCCATTTGCAGATGAGCACTCTGTATCAATTCAGCTCAATTCGGTGAGACTTTATTGGCATATGTAGCAGATCGAGCACCGCCATGTCGCCTCCTGCTGGTTGCCTTGGGAATTAGCTCTTTTCCAGCCCTCAGAGCGCCCCCTGCTGGTTGGTGTCTAGCCTGCCTCAGGCCCCCATGTCCCTCCTGGACCCCGATGCCCTTTACCTTGGGGTTCTGCCCCACAGCAGTACCCCGGCTCTCTGGGTCTCCCGTCCCAAGGGAACCCCCTCCCCCTATGCTTACCTGGCCTCAGTGGCTACTGCCAGTCGTCATCTAGCCCCCTTTCTCTGGGGCAAACTGCAGTCTGTAATGGCCACTCATTATTGGCAAGGGGGTTGGACCAGCTGCCTCTGCCTATCCCTGGGCTGCACCTCTGCGGCCCCAGTACCTCCTAGGGCCTTTAACAAGGCCTCAGCCTGGGGAGTTGCCAGGCCAGAGCTTCCCAGCTATGCCTGCCCTTCCCCAGCACTGCTCTGCTTCAGGTACCTCATGCTCCCAGGCAGCTAGGTCCTTCCCACTCCAAGGCTGGAGTGAACCTCTCTTCAAAGCTAGAGAGAGACTGTTTACCTTATGGCCCGGCAGCTCTTTTATAGGGCCCAGCCTGGCCCTGATTGGCTGCCTCCCAGGCTCTTCTTATTGGCTCTCAGCCCCAGCCCTCTCCAAGGGCTGGCTTTTAAACCTTTCAGGGCCGGAGCAGGATGAGTGCCCCGCTACAGCATGACAAGCCATCCAGGTGTTGCCAAACTGTCAGAAAAAGAACAGACCCTTCAGGTATGAGGTATGTTAGAAAACCAGACTCCTATTGGTGAAAATAGTTGGATCATTTTTCTGTCGATGCTTTCATAGTTTAGCTCCACAAAGCCAAACTTAGGAATGTAGGAATTGTGTCATCAAATTGACGTGTGGTCCATCTAGTCTGGTTTCTGGCAGTGACCTGTACAAGATGCTTGACAAGAGAATGTCATCTCTACAGGTTCCTCCTTTCATAGACGTCACTTGCTCCTTTTGGATTTTCTACGTTTCTGGGCTTCTTTAGCTTTTAATTATTTTCTAAGCAAAAATTCTATGCCATAATTCTTTTCACTCCATATTTGGATTGATATGGCATATTCTTACATTATCATATTCAGTTGTATGGTGGTTCTGATTCTTATTTTTCTTCCTTATTCTTTTATTTCTAATGGTTCACACAGTAACTTTCATCTTTTCATTACCATCTTCCTTCCAAACTGCATCCTTTTGTTGTCATTTCATTTTCACACCCTTGCCTCATGGAGTCATCATCTCAGTATTCAAGCAACATACTTGGCTTCTTACTTTATGTGCACTCATTTTCTCTTTCTATTGTCTACCTATTTAATCTTTCCAGTACACATTTGGCTTTCCCTTAACGCATCTTTACACTATGTATTCAACTTGTACGAAGTGTCACAGCTGAAAATGTCATTCCGTTCCATTGAATTAGTCATCCATCAGTTATTAGATATTTTAACATGTTTTTTTTATTCTGTAGCCAACGCATTGAGACAAAATGAATTTTACTTAATTTTAAGAATTAAGTTTAACAAAATAGGAAATTAAATTTTGTATATCGCTAAATTGTTGAACATAGGGCAAAATGATTAATATGTGAAATGGGGTGCAAATGTACTTACTTACTCTTCTGCAGACTAAACAGTCCCAGTTCCCTCAGCCTCTGCTCACAAGTCATGTGTTCCAGTCCCCTAATCATTTTTGTTGCCCTCCACTGGATGCTTTCCAATTTTTCCACATCTTTCTTGTAGTGTAGGGCCCAAAACTGGACACAGTACTCCAGATGTGGCCTAACCAATGTCGAATAGAGGGGAATGATCACGTCCCTCGATCTGCTGGCAATGCCCCTACTTATACAGCCCAAAATGCCGTTAGCCTTCTTGGCAACAAGGGCACACTGTTGACTCATATCCAGCTTCTCGTCCACTGTAACCCCTAGGTCCTTTTCTGCAGGACTGCTGCCGAGCCATTTGGTCCCTAGTTTGTAGCAGTGCATGGGATTCTTCCGTCCTAAGCGCAGGACTCTGCACTTGTCCTTGTTGAACCTCATCAGATTTCTTTTGGCTCAATCCTCTAATTTGTCTCAGTCCCTCTGTATCCTATCCCTACGCTCCAGCGTATCTACCGCTCCTCCCAGTTTAGTGTCATCTGCAGACTTGCTGAGGGTGCAGTCCACACGATCCTCCAGATCATTAATGAAGATATTGAACAAAACTGGCCCCAGGACTGACCCTTGGGGCACTCTGCTTGATACCGGCTGCCAACTAGACATGGAGCCATTAATCACTACCCGTTGAGCCCGACAATCTAGCCAGCTTTCTATCCACCTTCTAGTCCATTCATCCAGCATTAGCTCTCTCCCCCCTCCTCCACACACACACACACCTACCTCTCCCCAGGTCTAAAGCAGACAGGGAAAGCAGGAGCTCTGATCTGGCTTCCACCTATTCTCCTCACTGTGAAACCAGAGAAGGCAGAGCAAATGGAATGAAGATCAAAGCACCAGCTCTGTGCTAGCCCACTATGCGCAATCTGAATTTGTTACCTAAGAACCTCTTGATCCCTACTGGCAGAGGGCACAGTGTAAGTAAGGGTTACAGGAGTCCCCTGTACATACCAGTCCACCAAAGAACATCATGTAAGGTCTCTAATGAAAGCCTGTTTCACACTGATCATCATCATTCTTGTGAGATGTATGTTCAGAAAATATGTGAAGAGTTATGCATATATACTAAAAATCATGTTCTCTAGCTCTGTGAGTTAGGACTGGTCACCATAAGGTAATCCACATGCTCCTGGCAGGTGGGGGAGAAAGGAGGGAAAGAGACGCTTATCTCACTCTGGCTGGTCATGTGCAAATTAAGTATTGTGTGGTTCAGAATGGACACCCATTTACAGTCTGAGCAAAATACTAATCAATATATTGCTGAGGTTGCAGAGAAAAAACAAAACCAGTAGGGGTTATCCTGGTTAGGAGTAAGACAATGAACTTTTGAAACTGTATCTGGGGTGCAGCTGAATCCCCAGTTATTCCTTTAGTCTTTGAGGACAAGCTGCCAGCAGGCTTGATCTTATGAAAAGGGATCTCGGCCAACCTGGTTGAAAATTCTGGGAAAAGGACTTGGGATAAGCGAACTTGTCGAAGACAGAGGAATGCCTTGGTAGTTAAGTTTAGTTTTAGAAAGAGTGTTGTGATTTTGTTTTATATGTACCATTTGTTTCCAATATTCTCACTCACTATCACTTACCGCTCTGTTCTTTGATAGTAATCTTATTCTTGCTTTCACTATATGTATATCTAAACAGTGGTGAGCTGGAACTGGTTCACACCAGTTCGCTGGAACCGGTTGTTAAATTTAAAGGAGTACTTGTGGCACCTTAGAGACTAACCAATTGATTTGAGCATAAGCTTTCATGAGCTACAGCTCACTTCATCGGATGCATACTGTGGAAAATACAGAAGATGTTTTTATACACACAAAATAACAGAACGCCACTAGCCGTCACCTTCAGCCTCCAACTAAAACCCCTCCCACGCATTATCAAGGATCTACAACCTATCCTGAAGGATGACCCAACACTCTCACAAATCTTGGGAGACAGGCCAGTCCTTGCCTACAGACAGCCCCCCAGCCTGAAGCGAATACTCACCAGCAACTATATACCACACAACAGAACCACTAACCCAGGAACCTATCCTTGCAACAAAGCCCGTTGCCAACTGTGCCCACATATCTATTCAGGGGACACCATCACAGGGCCTAATAACATCAGCCACACTATCAAAGGCTTGTTCACCTGCACATCCACCAATGTGATATATGCCATCATGTGCCAGCAATGCCCCTCTGCCATGTACATTGGTCAAACTGGACAGTCTCTACGTAAAAGAATAAATGGACACAAGTCAGATGTCAAGAATTATAACATTCAAAAACCAGTCGGAGAACACTTCAATCTCTCTGGTCACTCGATTTCTGTTCTCAAAGTGACTATCCTTCAACAAAAAAACTTCGAAAACAGACTCCAACGAGAGACTGCTGAATTGGAATTAATTTGCAAATTGGATACAGTTAACTTAGGCTTGAATAGAGACTGGGAATTGTTGACTCATTTTAAAAAGTAACCTATTTCCCCTTGTTTATCCTCCCCTCCCCCCGCACTGTTCCTCAGACGTTCTTGTTAAACCCTGGATTTGTGCTGGAAATGGCCCACCTTGATTATCATACACATTGTAAGGAGAGTGATCACTTTAGATAAGCTATTACCAGCAGGAGAGTAGGGTGGGGGGAGAGAAAACCTTTTGTAGTGATAAACACCCATTTTTTCATGGTTTGTGTGTATAAAAACATCTTCTGTATTTTCCACAGTATGCATCCGATGAAGTGAGCTGTAGCTCACGAAAGCTTATGCTCAGATAAATTGGTTAGTCTCTAAGGTGCCACAAGTACTCCTTTTCTTTTTGCGAATACAGACTAACACGGCTGTTACTCTGAAACTTGTTAAATTTAGAAGCCCTTTTAGAACCGATTCTAAAAGGGCTTCTAAATTTAACAACTGGCCAAAAGTGGCGCCTTAGGCACCGACTCCCTGAGTGCTCTGGGGCTGGAGAACCCACAGGGAGAATTTGGTGGGTGCAGAGCACCCACCGGCAGCTCCCCAACACCCGCCCGGCCCCAGCTCACCTCCACTCTGCCTCCGCCCCTGAATGCGCCGCCCCGCTCTGCTTCTCTGCCCTCCCTCCCCCCTGTTTCCCATGAATCAGCTGTTCGCACGGGAAGCCTGGGAGGGCTGAGAAGCAAGCGGCGGCTTCGCGCTCAGGCCCAGGGAGGTGGAGGTGAGCTGGGGTGGGGAGTGGTTCCCCTGCGCCCCCCCCCCAGGTTACCTGCTGCGGCGCGGGCAGCCCTCCTCGCGCCCCCCTGCCCCAGCTCACCTCTGCTCCACCTCCGCCTCCCTGGGCCTGAGCATGAAGCCGCCGCTTGCTTCTCAGCCCTCCCAGGCTTCCCACGCGAACAGCTGATTCGCGGGAAGCCGGGGTGGGGGGTGGGGGCGGGGGGCGAAGAAGCAGAGCGGGGCGACGCGTTCAGGGGAGGAGGCGGAGGCGGAGGGGAGGTGAGCTGGGGCCAGGCGGGGGGTGGGGAGCTGCCGGTGGGTGCTCTGCACCCACCAAATTCTCCCCATGGGTGCTCCAGCCCCGGAGCACCTAGGGAGTCAGTGCCTAAGGCACCACTTTTAATGTGATCAGTGGGGGAGTGGCCGCTCCCCCTGTTCCCCCCCTAGCTACACTACCCCGCCCCTAGGAGCCAGAGGGACCTGCTGGATGCTTCCTGGGAGCTCCCCCAGGTAAGTACCGACGGGACTCCCCACCTCACCCCCCGGCAGATCCCTCTGGCTCTTAGGGGCAGGGCGGGGTGGGCACCCACTACAGTGGCCCACGAGACCCTCCTGCCCGGTTCTGGGGGCAGTCAGGGGACAGGGGAGGGGGGTGGATGGGGCGGGGGTCCCGGGAAGGACGGCATCAAGGAACACGGGGGGTTGGATGGGGCAGGAGTCCCGGGGGTCGGGGGTGGGCCACGACCCCCTCATGGGGTGAGGAGGGAACCAGTTGTTAAGATTTTGGCAGCTCATCACTGTATCTAAATGGTGCGTGTTAAGTGAGTGAGGATCCTAAGATGAATCTTGCAAGCTGGGATGTATTATTCCTTTGAGAATAGAGGATCTGAGAATTCTGGAGTGTTCATTGGATTGGGGCTGAGCACTCCAGAAGGACACTCAGAGGACCCAGAGATTGGTGTGTGCTTATCGCTAACCTGTACAGACAGGGTGAGGCCTGCAGAGGCATGGAAGACAGTGCTTGTGTTGCCAGAGGCTGATGATTTTAGGGAGCTCATCCACAGGAGGCCCAAACAAGACTTCCGCAGGCTAAGGGCAGGTGGACGAGGTGTCTCACAACCCTATGTACTCCTGGGAATCTGCCCCTTGTAGCAAGTGCCCTGAGCTTGCAGGTGTATCTGGTGTTTTCAGTAAAACTGAATAATTCTGTTCAGATACAATTCTCTGTGCATGTGGAGAATGATATACACTAAGATAAGTTACTACACATTTAAGTTAGCGTGTACAGTTGAAGGTGCTTCTTTTGTCTGATCAGATGAGCAATCTGAGTGAAAGTACTTTAAAGGAGTGCTGATGGTGGTGGATTGCAAACAAATAAGAGACACCCAATTGCTGAGATGCTGTTGGATAAGGATAACCTCAAATCATACATTAAAATGTAGCCGTATTAGTTAATGTGAACCATGTATTCTGTAATGACTTCTGTCTGTTCTCACTACCATTTCTTTAGGCTATTCATTCTGTTGACTGGCATCATGAGGGGAAGCAGTTCATGTGCAGTCACTCTGATGGCAGCTTGACTCTGTGGAACTTGAAAAGTCCGAGCAGACCATTTCAGATAACAATCCCACATGGTAAGAAAGATGCTTTAAAAAAAAACATATTGCAGGGAAGGAATGAAAAAGATGGTTTTATTTACAGATATTTATGATTAGTTCATTTTATCTGGTCCTGTGTCCCTACTTCGTAGCCATTTCTTGTATAGGTTCCTATATTCTTTAATCTGCAGAATATTCTCAAAATCAACTAGCAGCTATGTTACATTTAACGTCAGAGGCCTCAAAAAAGCCTGTCTTAGCACAAAGTATCTGATCTTTGTTTGATGCCCTCTGCCTCTGACCATCTTTGATTTTTTTTGCTTGTGGGAAACAACATTTAAGCTCATATGTGTTTTAAAACAAAATTTAAAAAGACAATAGGAGCTCTGTTTTCATGAAGTTTGTTATCTTGGTAATTTGCTGTGAAGAAAGAAAATATGTTGAGTAAAAGAGCAAAAGGAATCTAATTATTTCAGAAAAATTAATATCCAAACTGCAGTGGAAAATAGGTATTAGAACTCTGCCATCCGCAATGACTTTAAAGTTCAATTATTGTGCTATATATAGAACTTGTCCAGTGTGGTGGCAATTATAAGTTTTAGTAAGATTTATACCTTCTTTCTTTCCACAGGAAAAATTCAAAGAGATGGGAAAAAACCTGAGTCTTGTAAACCAATTCTGAAAGTAGAATACAAGACATGTAAAAGCAGGTATGTTTTTGTCTCCTTAGGAAAAGATTAAGCCATATCTATGTGCTTGGCTACACTCTATGTAAAATGGAGCTGCTTATGAATACTTCTCTCTGTAAGGCACTGTTGGACATATAGATGAATGATACAGACTATAATTACATGATCAGATGCTGTTTGGTCTGGATGATGGTCTTATGGTTAGATCACTGGAAAGGACCCAAGAAAACTAGATTGTGTCCAGTCTGCTTACCTTGGCCATAGATTTCCTTCACTGCTGAGGAAGTCATTTAAACCGAGTTTCAAAAGGTGTCTTCAGAATGATATGGTCTGCAGTAAAGTATCAGAACGGTACGGACTGCTTCTTCTAATTTATGCTGTTTAAAAATTATTAAAATTATGTATTTGTTTTTTAAAATGCAGCTCTTAAAATAATAAGCAAATGAATCACAGAATACATAGCAAATGAAATTAAATGGGACTGCCCTGCTTTTTAAGCATTTTCTATGCATATTTAGATCTCTGATACACATTTAATCTTCCAGAGGTTGATCCTTCCTACTATATACAGTATTTCAACTCTTTTAGGAAAATAATATTGATTTTATTATTTAGTTTCTTTTATTTAGTATACAACAGCAAAAGCAAAACATTGAATTGACTTTCAATATATTCCTTTGTCATCTTCCCAATTAATAGTCTATGTGCAAATGCACATTACTATTTTAGGCCCTAAATCAGAAAATCACTTAAGCACATGTTTAAACATATACTTAAGTCCCATTTAAATCATTGGGACTCAAGCATATGCTTAAAGTTATTGCATGCTTAAATACATTCCTGAATTGGAGTCTGACTGAGAAGGGGTTTAAAAGGTCTATGTGTCATATTTTCCACTATATTCCTACAAACAATTTTTAAAAAGGAAATGCCCACAGAGAAAACACTTTAAAAAAACCCACACCTCCAGCATATACTAACTCCCAACATTTCCTAAAATTGCATTATAATGCAGAACTTCAACTCTGACCTTAGACTTACCCATCAGAGAAGAACACAATATTCTGGTATGGAATGTCTAAAAGACATGTGTTGTTGTTGGAGTTAAGGTTTTGTGTTATAGTGTAATCATGGGAATTAGGATGTGTGTGTTGTGTTACTACACATGATAAAAGTGTAAGGGAGTTGTTTATAGAGGGGAGAAATCTGTCTGTGAAAATGGTGAATATGATGTTTGGTGGGGATAAGGAGAAAGAAGAATATTTTAACTGGATAATTCCTACTTTTAAGGGTTTGTGTGGGTGAGGAGAACTCTCTCCTTAGGCAACTTTAATAGATTTTAAATGTAAGTTTTTGTCTTTGTGAGAATTTATGTAAAGGTCCAAGTGTTTTTTCAAATTTTGAAATACACTTGTTAAGTATATCACATGTAGGACTAGTGGGACATAATAATATAATTATTTGCATTTCTGTAATGCCTGCCAGATTGTGCCCCAAGTTCCATGCACAGATCTCATGCCTTCTGCATGGAATGTGGTGGAATTAGCCTCATCCACAGCATTGTTGTTGTTGTTGTGATGTGCCTCTTACCCTGCTACCCGCACAGAACCACCATGTGGTCTACCCATAGGACTGGAATCTAAGTGTGGACTGAGCACGCAATGAGCAGCTCCGCGAGTTGAGATAGAAGGACGCACCTCTCCACCACATTATGACAACCAGGCATTTGCTAGATAGGTCAATGATTTTTCATAAGTTTCACAGAAAAAAGTTACATTTGGGAATCAGAAAATACATCTTTCTATTGCTTTATAGTATTTTAAGACTGAAGTGTACAAAGAATTATTTTATTTAAATTTATTTAAAGTTATGTTACAAAGAAGCAGGCAAACATTATCATTATCATATGTACATTATTTCAAAATCTTTGGCTTTATTCCTTATATTCTGAATTATTTTAGCAACCCAGCAATAAATTTTTCATCTATCACCATCTTTTTGGAATCCAAAACTAACAGATACAAGATTCCAGTTATATAAGTTGGAGTTTGAGCTGCTTAGCTTATACCGGTTGTTCCGTTTAATTTGTGTAGAGGCAGAAATGTTATGACAAGTAACATATTACAAAACAAGGTACAATATGACCTAAAAATATTTGTCGATGAATTGAAAAGATCTTTAAAAGGGTTTTGAACTTTGTAAAGACTGTATAGTTTAACAGTAGCAATTGCATCTTTTAATATTTTAATTCAAAAATTTTGCTGGGAGGTTTTCTAGGTATTTAATATTTAGAGTCTTTTACAACATACAAAGCTGCATTTGTTCTTCTTTATAGGAAATTAGGAATTATCACACCAGGAAAGTCCAATTTACTATTTATATATAGGCCTTTCTCTGGTGCTTATCAAGGCTAGTATGCTTTCTCTCTGCCAGACCTGAACAGACCATTGTTTTAGTCCACTGTTCTGTCTCCTCATTATACTGGGACAGACCAGCGGTCCATTTAGTCTGATATCCTGTCTCCTTAAGGTATCCAATGGTCTGTTGTATTACAGAAATTAAATCCTTGAATGGCTAAGTGGGTCAATTCCAAGTAGGAGTAGAAAGGTGGTATTTCTTCTGTATTCAGCATTTCTGTATAAAATATCTTAGTAATGGGAGACTGAGAACCTTCAGCATTGCAGCTTTTCAGAGTTCAAGTTTCTTTCCCTTTCTTTCCATGAGAGCTTTTCCGTTACGTTTGAATTACTTTGATGTTTTAGGTGTGGACAACCCACCACCACACACAAACAGAACAGACTCACTTTCTCACAGGTCTATATACAGCTATATGAAATCACATACACTCAAGTTTGGGGAAGAGGGTGCAGGAAGACTGGCCCCTCTATTTGGGTAGAATTAACTTTGTGGTATATTGTCTGAAGTGGTTGTACTAGTGGTGAGGGGTCTGTCTCTGGATGGGAGGAGTATGGACTGCTGGATGTTTTTAACTTCTTTTGGTTTTGAGATTTTGCATTAGTTATGTCTGTGTAGATCAATCTTAACATACACATACTGTAGTGTTTTTGTGTATTAATTCCCCAGTTTATAGATTTAGATAATATCTCTGACACACCGATGGCTCCTTTCATGAAAAACCTGATCTCTGTCAAAGTGTCCAGTTGGATTAGTTGGTTACTTCCACAAAAATCCTTGTTTTATAGAAGAGGATGTTCAACAAAGCAATGGCTACTATGACCAAGGACAGGATCTTCATGAAAGTGTTCAGACAGCTCAAGAGCCCACATAAAGACTTCCAAATGCAGCTTCAAATATGGAAGTAGATGACATATAACAAGCTATCCATTGTTACCCATTGTTCATAAATGTTCAGTTATACTGAAAAATACTGTTAAGGTTTTTCTTTTAATTAATAAAATAATTATGTATTTTTACACAGCTAAATCTCATTATGTATAACTTTTTAAAGGGTAGTTTTTAGAGGGACCTGAAAATGATGAGATTCAAAATTGTGGTATTTGAAGGCCTATTTTTAATTAATGTAAAATATATGTATATGTATAAACCTACTTTTCTCAGTGCTATGGGTCTCTCAAAATATTTCCACACACAAAAATAAACCCTTCAAAATCTGTATCTGTATTAGTGGTACAAATCCACCACCACAATTTCATTTTTTCTCTTTTTAAACACTATGGGATGAAAGGCATGACACAAATGTGAGATTATAGAGATGATCTATTATTGCTTTTTGTTTTTTGACACAGTGAACCATTTATAATCTTTTCTGGTGGACTATCCTATGACAAAGCTTGTCGAAGACCAAGTCTAACCATCATGCATGGAAAAGCTATTACGGTGCTTGAAATGGATCACCCTATAGTTGACTTTTTAACTCTTTGTGAAACACCATATCCAAATGGTGAGTGTATGAAGCTACAATAGTACAGTATTGTCAAAGAAGAGAAATGTTATTCGTTAAAAAATTATATGAAGTGGTCTTATCACAGAATTTAGTGTCCATACAGCATGATAAACAAGTTGGGGATCTCAGTTCCCAAAGGACAGTTCTCCATGTTACAAAAACCAACACCACAATTGACAGCAGCTGGACCCTTTGTTTGCAGTCTCAGCAGAAAGATCAAGAAATGAATGGGCTGAATTCCCCTCTTACCATGGTGTGGTGGGGGGAGGTGGGGAGTGGGGGGAAGGGGAGCTCCAAGTCACAGTTGACGCACACTGATCAGTCAATGTAAGGAAGCTTACATTGCCACTACTCAGAAATAAATGGAGAGCTTAAGTCTCATGGCTTGGTCATTATATAATGCCTGCATCTGTAATTTTCACTCCATGCATCTGAAGAAGTGGTGTTTTACCCATGAAAGCTTATGCCCAAATAAATCTGTTAGTCTTTAAGGTGCCACCAGACTCTTTGTAGTCTCATGGCTGTAATTCTGGTGCTTTTCATGAACGTTAAGTCCTTAAATCAGCAAAGTGTTTAAGCTTGTGCTTAAATCCATCCCTTTTGAGCAAAGCACAAGCTTAATTAAGAATGTGCTGAAGTGTTTTGCTCTGCTGAACAGGGATGGACTGTTAAATTGAGGACTAAATTAACAGAAAAACTAAGAAGGGTGAGGGGTAGGGAAAGCTAAAAACCTATAAGAAATTAAGTCTGGTATCTTCAGCATAAAAGAGGGTGAGCAGAAATGTAGAAGAAACATTTAGCACGTAAATTAATAAAAATAAAACCCTGTTGAATAATTTGAATTAGTATAAAGCAAATATTTATTTCCAATGTCTAGTGAATGGAAGCTTCAATAATTGAATTAATGTATCTGGGCTGCCAATTCACTATGTTAAACTTAGTGGTGCTTCCATATTATGGATTCTTTTACTGATTTACACAGTAGTACATTTTTGTTTTATGTTAGCCTGTATTGTTCATAATCCAGTGTGTCAATATGCTACCACAGGATGTGCATTAATAGTAAACCACAAAGGGAAGAGCATTAGTTGATACATTCCTCAGGTTCATTCAGCCTTGTGCCTTCAACCATCTGAGGAGTTCAACCTTGCACATCATGTGTGAGAGAGAGAGCTACTGCACCTGAATTGATCACAAAATAGTAGATGCCTCCAGCAGTCTCACAACAAAATCATAACAATAATATTGCTACAAAAACCAATTTATGCAATGCATGTTTTAATTATGAAAAATACTTCCCAGTATATAAATAATGCCTTATACTTACTGTGTTAACTTTTTTCTTTCTTTCCTACTTTGTTTCCTTTATTATCTGGAACTCATTTCTGTTAAAAAACCCCAAACTTGGAACATCATAGTTTGGATACCAAGGTGATTGGCAACTTAGATAAAAATTCACTTTTACAAAGGAAAGTGGTGTAAGAGTGGTTGGAAGACCACAGTCTAAACTGCAAATGGCAGCTTGATATTTAGGAGGGGAGGAGGCAGTTTAAATCTTTGTCTTCTTTTTCAGCCCATTACACGCTATTCCTCCCCAACTCTGTTTGCAGTACAACTGCATCTCTTTCTTCACCTCCAGAGTGTACCTTCGTTATCTTTGTCTCCTCATTAACTCTCCCCAATTCACATTTTAAAATAATGGATCTAGTGAACTTTTTGCATTTGAGATTACAGCTGTGCACTATTGGGAGTTGGTGGACTGTGCATCTCAAGGAGTTGGTGGAATGTAGCTTTGGACAATCACTGCCCACAGAAAAACTCTAATACCCATTAAACCTTTGCAGTCTATGATCACAAGGTCTATAACAAGGGTACCTCCCTGTGTGTGATGAGTAGATTCAGTGATAGAGTAACATACCCAGCTGCCTTCAGATGTCACCTGCTCCACTCCTTTACTTTTAATTCAACACCATGTTCGCATGCTATAATTATACCATGCTATTTTTGCTATATATGTTTATCAAAAATTATGTCGCCAAAACTACTTGTCATTGTGGGCCATCTACATCACTGTCTGACTCTAATCAAATGCCATCCTTTCTAATTGGCAAATCTGTCTTTAGTTATTATTCAGACTTCTATCTCAAATCATTTATTTAAAATACAATAATTGTTCAGGAGAGGATTATATAATTTGGCTAACTTGGTTAAAAGGCTTAACAGGAAAGCTCTGCATGTTTTTTGTGCTTGATTCCTCACTTTTAGAATTTCAAGAACCCTATGCTGTAGTTGTACTATTGGAAAAAGATCTCATTGTTGTTGACCTAACACAAAGCAAGTAAGTACAAAGTCTATATGAAACTGTTCCTGCTTCATAAATATATAGCTGATAATGTTGAAAGTCTATTCAAACTTTTCTTTTTTATTTTGCCGGTATAAAAACTTTACATTCACTGGAGGCAATTTTACCCTCGGATAATATAGGCCAGCGGGTTTTCCCATTTTTCTAAGGTAATATCTTATGTCCACACACGGTAGATGCTCCAAAATTATTAATATCTTCAGCACATCTAATTCTAATAATACTCATTCTTTCTCCTCTCCAGTCAACACTGACAGACCTGTTCAACAATATTTCACTAGGCAAGCATATATTCATTTGTCTGATTTTTCTACGTAAGTCAACTCAGTTACAGCAGTGTAAAACCTGATGGAAGTGAAATCAGAATCAGGCCTTCTTCTTTGGGTTATTGTCCCTATGGGTGCTCTAGGTGAGGATGTGTGTGCACCCATGCACTCTCAATTGAAGATTTTTCTGTTATTAGTGCCTGTGGGTCTGCACCTACACTGTATGCCTCCATATGCTCCAGTATAAGGGCATATAGGGAGGAGTGGACCCATGTCACTCCAGTTCCTTCTCAACCACCTGCAGTTATCATTGGAGTTTTGAGGCATCTACTATCTAGCTAACGCAGTTATTCTTCTGCCACATTTTTATGCTTAATTTTCATATGTAGTTTTAGTTTTTTTGCTGTTAATTTACCTTTATAGCACAATTTATGCTTTGAAGGGGGGTCTCCCCCCACTTCTTCCCCCCTTTTTCCTCTCTGGCCTTCTCGACTGGTGGCTTTTCTTGCAGAATATGCCCAAGAACCCAGGATTCAAGCCCTGCCAGATCAGTCACCAGTCACTTCTCAGTGATGGGCACTCCAGTTGCCTCCATTCTCTTAGAAAGACTCACATCCCATCCAAGTGTAAGATCTGCTCTGGCTTAAAGACTGGCAAAAACTAAGGGAAGAAACTTCTCATTGAGTGCTCCCTTAGACCTGTGTGGTCAGTTCTGCCCTCCATCCTGTACATTAGACTCCGCTGCAGAGACTTCATCAGCTCCAGCTCTGACCTCTAGAAACCAGGGGACAACTTCAGTCTTGCAGAAAACAACCAAATGTAAGAGACCCATTCCTCTCCACTTAGATCTGTGAGTAGGGAGATTTGCGTCCTGCTGCAGATACTGATAAAGCTCCCACCAGATACCCCAGCACTGCTGAAAGAGACTTGTACAAAACCAGGTGCTGAGAAACTGTACCGAGAAACCCACTGTTGAGCAGTCTCAAGGTATGGACCCATTAGAACCAAGATTGGACTCTTACAGACAGAAGGACTCATTCAAGACTAAGGACTCTTCAAAGATGTAATCTTACCTAGTACCATCCACTGACAGCCAGTCCTCTCGAGAATGACTGGGGCATTCTCTGGTACCACCTCCAATATCGCTAAACTTATTTCATTGAGAGGAACACTTCCTGGACTCAATGGTACCTTTAAGGTTCCTCTCTCAAAGGACCTTCACATTATGGAGTACTTGTTTTCTCATCCCAGCCCTACCTTTCTTGTTGTTGATGCTGCCAATGAAAGAGTAGGAAACATCACTTCAAATCAGCACTGTCTGATAACAAGCATACGCATCTGGACCTCCTAGGGCTTAAGAGCCACTCATCAGCCTCTCTTCAGTTCCGAGTCACCAACTACCAAGTCCTGATGGCAAAATATGACTTAACCAACTATAGTAAATTTTCTTACTTTATTGAGTTTTTGCCTCGGGACAAGAGAGCAGTTTCAAGCTCTTATTACAGAGAGCTTATAACAATCATTCTGTTGTTAGATCCCAGGGACTGGTTCATGCAGCCATAAACCCACTGCACCAGTGCTTCCTCAGGTCTATAGTAAGTGCCGACCATTACCAGTACAGTCTCCTGTCTTTCAGCCTATTGACAGCCCCAACGGTCTTTACAAAGGTCCCCTCCATTGTCATGGCCCACAGTCAGCATTTGGGAATAGTCATTTTTACCTATCTGGATGACTGACTCCTCAAGTGCCATTCTTTTCTTGAAGTTCAATCTGACACTCAGAAGGCCCTAGCTCTATTCCACTGCCTAGGCCTTCACCTCAACATAGACAAATCAACCCTGATACCTGTACAGCGGTATTGGGGCCACCTTAGACTCTATGGTGGTCAGGGTGTCCCTACTTGCAGACAGATTCATCATGATGTCTAACATGATCTCCACATTGCAGCAGAGCCCACAAACCGTGGCAAGGGCATGTCTTCAGCTCCTGGGACACATGATGGCCTGCACATCTGTAACCCCCCATGCAAGATTGCACTGCCAGTGTCTTCAAGCCTGGTGCAAGACATCCTACACTCCCAACAATGAAGTGCTGTCCACAGAGGTGTTAGTCCCATGGATTGTCCTCCACTCCCTCAATTGGTGAAAGGACCTTCAAAAAGTCTGCATGGGAACTGCCTTCTCATGTCTACCTGCCATACACATCATCGCTACAGGCTCCTGACTTCTAGGACGGGGTGCTCACCTACAAGATCATACTGCCCAAGGCAGGTGGACTCCTCAAGAGTTGTCACTACACATCAGTGCCCTGTCTTCACTTCCTACCTCTCAGCTATCTCCAATCAGTCAGAGTGATGTTGGACAACTGAGCAACAATGTACTGTATAAACTGCCCAGGAGGAGCAAAATCACAATCTTTATGCGAAGAGTTGGTGATGCTATGGAATTGGTTCTTAGCCCAGAAAATAGATATCTCAGTGATCTCTTTGCTAGAATCACAGAACGCCATCACAGATTCACTGAGCTGAATTTTCCATCAAGACCACAAGTGGGAGCTGAGCAATGTTGTCTTTCAAGAAATCTGTCTTACGTGGCATCTTCCGCACCTTCCAACTCAAAATGCTGCTTATCAAGTGGGGAACATGGCACAACTCCCTGGAAGACATTATCCTTGCCTCTTGGCACCCAGGTCTGTTATACACATTCCCTCAGACTCCATTGATCCACAAAGCCCTGCTCAAACTGAAACAAGAAAAAAAAACAGTTATCATTTTCATAGCTCCCACATGGCGGAGACAGGTGTGGTTCCTAACCCTGACCCATCTGATGACATCTGGTTCCTAACCCTGACCCATCTGATGACATGTCCACCTCTGCACCTTCCCCTGATGACACACCTCCTGATCCAGGAATCAGGCTCCATAACCCACTCCAACCGATCAGCCCTGCCTCTCAGGTCTTGACTTCTCGGTAGCTCTTGGATGTAGAGCAGAAATGTTCTCCTGAAGTTCAGTTGTTTCTGTTAAATAGCAGGAAATCTACTACATGAAGGATTTACCAGCAGAAGTAGAAATCTGGTGCACCCAACGTTCTGTATCTCCTGCCAATTCTCCCCAGGCATACATCTTCGACTAGGCACTAACCTTCAAATCTCTCGGTCTTTCCCTGAACTCTGTTAAGATTCATTTATCTGTCATTGCAGCATTCCACCCACCAGTCAAGGGTGTCTTTGTCTTGCACATCCTAGAACAACAAGATTCCTTAAAGGGCCTCCTTAATCTGTTCCATCCAGTGTGGGACCCTGCCCCACACTGGCACCATAATTTAGCACTTAACACATTAAAAGGACCTCCCTTTGAGCCTATGGCAACCTACTTGCTATTCCATCTGTCCTTCAAGATTTTGTTTCTTGTAACAATCACCTCAGCCAGAAAGATGGGAACTAGTAGCTCTCATGGCTGACCCTCCATATTACAATTTATCCAGACAAAGTTATGTTGCATCACCACCTTCACTTCCTCCCTGAAGTGTCATCAGAGTACCACACCAATCAGGATATTCATCTGCTGGTATTTTACCCCAAAACCCACTCATCCAGAGAAGCGATGAGTCTCCATATACTGGACATAAGATGACATTTACTCTTCACAGAACTAAACCCTTCGGGGTATCCCCCCAGACTCTTTGTTTCCTTTGCCAAGAGAAACTAACTAACTGGGTATTGGAGTGCACTTTGCATTGCTATGAGTCCTCTGGGATGCAATCCCCTCCTAGAGTCATTGCTGACTCTACCAGATCTCAATCTGTTTCCATTGCCCTCCTTAGGAATGTACCCATCAAGGACGTTTGAAAGGCAGCCAGCTGGTACTCCATTTCATGTTTTCACTGCCTTATGCCCAACTTCATGCCTCCAGTGCGAATGCAGTCTTTGGTGAAGGTGTTCTATACTCCATACTGGGTCCATCTCTTCAGCACTTTCTTCCACATTAAGGTACTATTCAGGAGTCTCCTCATATTGGGATGCTGGAACTGGATGACAGGGATTGGTTCACTAGATAATTACCCTGTTCTGTTCATTCCCTCTAAAGCATTTGGCATTGGCCACTGTCAGAAGACAGGAAACTGGGCTAGATGGACCATTGGTCTCACCCAGTAAGGCCATTCTTATGTTCATGTGGAGCACCCACAGGGACATTAACTCAAAGAAGGAGGAGACATTACTTACTTTGTACAGTAACTGGAGTTCTTTGAGATGTTTTGTCCCTATGAGTGCTCCACTACCCACCCTCTTTTTCCTCCTGCTTCAGAGATTTACCATGCTCTGAGTTGAGAGGAACTGGAGTGGCACAGGTCTGCTCCTCCCTATATTCTCTCATACCCCGGAGCATGAGGAGGCCTGAAGTGCAAGCCCACAGGAACTACTAGCAGAAATATCTCTGATCAAGAGTGCATGGGCACACTGATGTCCTCACATGGAGCACCCATAGGGACAAAACATTTTGAAGAACTCCAGTTACTGAACAAGGTAAGTAACCTCTCCTTGTGCATTTTTCATTTATGAATGACATTCTATGCTTATTGTTGCTCTAAGTGTGAGGCATTACTCCTTATCTTGACAGATAAAGCTAATACAAGTGAACAGCAATTAAATTGAGGGCTGACTTGTCTGCAATTGCTTCAACAGTACAAACCATGGAGAATTAATATTCCACTGTCAAATTGAGTAAAATTGTTTATTATGAGACATGGTTACTAATACAGTATGTCTACAGCATAATTTTATGGACAATTCTTGTCTTTAAGTTGGCAGCTGGTATCAAGTGGAGTGCCCCAAGGGTCGGTCCTGGGGCCAGTTTTGTTCAATAGCTTCATTAATGATCTGGAGGATGGCATGGAGTGCACCCTCAGCAAGTTTGCAGATGACACTAAACGGGGAGGAGTGGTAGATACACTGGAGGGTAGGAATAGGATACAGAGGGACCTAGACAAATTAGAGGATTGGGCCAAAAGAAATCTGATGAGGTTCAACAAGGACAAGTACAGACTAGGGGCCGAGTGTCTAGGCAGCAGTTCTGCAGAAAAGGACCTAGGGGTTTCAGTGGACAAGAAGCTGGATATGAGTCAACAGTGTGCCCTTGTTGTCAAAAAGGCTAACGGCATTTTGTATAAGTAGGAGCATTGCCAGCAGATGGAGGGATGTGATCATTCCCCTCTATTTGACATTGGTGAGGCCTCACCTGGAGTACTTTGTCCAGTTTTCTGCCCCACACTATAAGAAGGATGTGGAAAAATTGGAAAGAGTCCAGCTGAGGGCAACAAAAATTATTAGGGGGCTGGAACACATGACTTATGAGGAGAGGCTGAAGGAACTGGGATTATTTAGTCTGCAGAAAAGAAGAATGAGGGGGGATTTGATAGCTGCTTTCAACGACCTGAAAGGGGGTTCCAAAGAGGATGGATCTAGACTGTTCTCCGTGATAGCAGATGACAGAACAAGGAGTAATGGTCTCAAGTTGCAGTGGGGGAGGTTTAGGTTGGATATTAGGAAAAACTTTTTCACTAGAAGGGTGGAGAAGCACTGGAATGCGTTACCTAGGGTGGTGGTGGAATCTCCTTCCTTAGAGGTTTTTAAAGTCAGGCTTGACAAAGCCTGGCTGGGATGATTTAGTTGGTGATTGGTCCTGCTTTGATCAGGGAGTTGAACTAAATGACCTCCTGAGGTCCCTTCCAACCCTGATATTCTATGATTCTTTTATTCTAATTGTAATATAAATCATATGTTATTGATTATAGCATTCAGAAAACATACGTAATATTTATGTTTTATAGGGAAGATTCTAGAGATGTGGGGAAAAATTAGAACCTAATCCTGCAAACCTTTACTCACACAAGTAGTCCCATTGACTTTAGCAGGACTACTTATGTGACTAAAAACTGACAAGATGAAGGACTGCAGTTATGGTACCTTAATTTTGTCACCTTTATTGGCTTTATTGGTAAATTTTATTCTTGGGATTAAAAACAATAAATATGTTTTAAAGAAAATATGAAATAAGGAAAATAGCATGTATTATGAATAATGATAGTTTTAATTTAGATAAATTTGCTTTTGTTTTGTATACTTTAATATTTAAGAAAATCTAATATTACTTCATATGTCACAATGATACTAATAAATTGTCTTCCTCCATTAGTTTTCCAATCTTTGAAAATCCTTATCCGATTGACATTCATGAGTCACCAGTTACCTGTACAGAATATTTTGCTGATTGTCCTCCAGATTTGATTCCCGTGTTGTATTCTGTAGGAGCTAAACATAAAAAGCAAGGATACAGCAATAAGGTAAAAAAAAAGTACATTTTATTTATGAAGAGAGTTTAATTGTAAAAATCTAAACTGTGTATTAATCTTCTGGAAAATGATTTTCATTGTGTGTCTTCTCACATTAATACTCATATTAAAATAAGATAAAGGGATATCACCAACTTGAAACTCATATTTCTATCTCAAATTTTTTCCTTTATTGTAGTTACAAGTAACATCTGAGATTATTATAACTGAAAGATGTTATTGGGGAAAAGATTTTTCACTATTTTTTTCAGTTTGTTTACTCTGTGCATTTGACAGCATGCATGCACAGAAAATTTCACTCTCATCTGAGTAAAGTCAATTGGGCTCTGATGCTGCAATTGGTTCTATGTAGGCACTCAGATCCCTGTTCCCACATGATGCTCCACTGACTTCAGCGGGGTACTATGAGAGAGTATGTTCCATCCTTGCAGACCTCGTTGCAGGATCATGGGTCCTTTCTGAGAATTTGCAAGTAAATCTGTTAATTAGTTTGAGGTAAAATTTATTCAAAATGGGTCTTTTAAGAAATTTAGCTCCTGGTATCAGACTGTTTTTTCGTCTCTGCTGTTTTCAGTAATGAAACAACACAAACCCTCCAAACTTCCCATGTGGTTAAAACTCACAGAAACCTGATGCATTGTCTGCATTTGCAAATTTTTGTTTTTAGGATTAATGATATTTTTTAGCCATTATTGCCACCATTTAAAAAAAGTACATTCTGATTTACATATATTTGCATAAATGTACATAAATATCAATGCATTTGTATAACTCTAAATAAATGTGTCATGTTGCCAATTTTTCCTACTCACACCCACATCCTGAATTAATTCTCCCAGTCACTTACTCCAGTTCGTTTCTACCCACACACACACAACTCCCCAGACACTTCACCACCTACCTCCATTCATTCCACACTTGCCCAACTGCTCATTCTGCACATCCATCCCCCCACTCCACACCCATCCATTCCACATCAGCCAGGATGATCAGTACACACACCCAGCCATTTTCCAGGCATCTATACTGTACGTACATCTTCGCTCATTCAGCACACCTTCCCCCCCACACTCACTCTCTCACACACACCCCTCTCTCTCTCTCTCTCTCTCTCTCACACACACACACACACACACACACACACACCCCTTTCTCCTCTCTCTCTCACACACACACACACACACACACACACACACACACACACACACACACACTAATTCCATCCTCCCTGGGAGCAGTTGAGCAGGCGAGGGAAGAGCATAGTTATAGCCCTAGTTATTTATAAGCAAAGCCCTGGGCAGTCCTGTCCCTACCAATCAATACCCCAAGTTCATGACTTTCCATTTCTATACTTGTCTCTCTGTTCCCTAGGCAAGAAGCTCCCACAACCCTAGTCCCCTTGCAACCAGTTCTCCTCCTTGAGAAAGAGAGAGGGAAAAAAGCAAATGTGTCTTTAAAAATCAGTTTAATCTAATTTGGAACTACAGGCATTATTATGCATGTCAGAATAGTATGGTTATTGCATGGTTTCTCTACAGGATGGAGTTAAATTTGTTCAGGTGCTCTAAACTGCATTTCCATACCTCAGCATGTGATGGTTTCTTTTAAGTTTAACTGTAACTCAGAATTTCCTGGATTTATAGCACTTGGTTTGGGACTAATTACAACACCTCTGTAATGTTTTAACCCTTAAATTACTGATATGTGCTTTTAATCCTAACTCCATTTTAAAATAGTTTTTAACCAGGAATACATATATTTCTGGTAACTGGGTGCAGCTGTCTTGCCTTCTTTTTCTTGAACTCCTACGGGAGCTTGACTGGGAAGACATTGTCTTCCTTTCCCATGGAAACTGGTATGTGCAGGAATCATGATCAAGACAGTCCTCTTTATGGTCTTTAAGATTATATGCTGCTTTAGCAAAGAAGGCAAGAACTAAATTGACTTTGGAGGCTGAATTCTCCTCCCATCCCTATAGCTGGTTATCTCAGTGAAGGCTTTTGTTGATTAACTCAAAGTGCAAAGTAATGCACATTGGAAAACATAATCCCAACTATACATATAAAATGATGGGGTCTAAATTAGCTGTTACCACTCAAAAAAGAGATCTTGGAGTCATTATGGATAGTTTTCTGAAAACATCCACTCAATGTGCAACGGCAGTCAAAAAAGCGAACAGAATACTGAGAATAATTAAGAAAGGGATAGATAATAGGACAGAAAATATCATGTCGCCTCGATATAAATCCATGGTATGCCCACATCTTGAATTCTGTTTGCAGATGTGGTCGCCTCATCTCAAAAAAGATATAGTGGAATTGGAAAAGGTTCAGAAAAGGACAACAAAAATTATTGGGGTATGGAACGGCTTCCGTATGAGGAGAGATTAATAAGACTGGGACTTTTCAGCTTGGAAAAGAGATGGCTAAGGGGAGATATGATTGAGGTCTATAAAATCATGACTGGTGTAGAGAAAGTAGATAAGGAAGTGCTGTTTACTACTTCTCATAACAGAGTAACTAGGGGGGGGTCACCAAATGAAATTAATAGGCAGCAGGTTTAAAACATATAAAAGGAAGTATTTCTTCACAGAGCACACAGTCAACCTGTAGAACTCCTTGCTGGATGATGTTGCGAAAGCCAAGACTATAACAGGGTTCAAAAAAGAACTAGATAAATTCATGGAGGATAGGTCCATCAATGGCTATTAGCCATGAAGAGCAGGAATGGGATCCCTAGTCTCTGTTTGCCAGAAGCTGGGAATGAGCGACGGGGGATGGATCAGTTGATGATTACCTCTTCTGTTCATTCCCTCTAAGGCACCTGGCACTGGCCACAGTCGGAAGACAGGATACTGGGCTAGATGGACCTTTGGTCTGACCCAGTAGGGCCATTATTATATTCTTATATTCTTATGATTGAGGCACATTGACAAAGCAGCGTTCAAAAGTTTGCACAGCTGCATTTTGTCTAATCTAAGGCCCCAATCCTGCGTTTGGATCCTCGCAAGAAGACTGTTATGCCTATACAGAGACCTGTTGAAGCCCCAAGGGTCAGCCCGTGTGAATCCAATAGAAGGATCAATTGATTGTTTATTATTCCTTCCTCCATCCCTTATTATAAAGAATTTCAGTCTGAAAAGCTGTTAATTCAGAACCTTCCACTAGACCACACAAATATTTAATGATTGTTTTAAAAATCTCTATGCTTTTAGGACAGATAATATTATAAACAATAAATTAGAAGTTGCATCTACATAAATGTATTTAAAAATGATCAAGATAATGTTACAACCTTGTCTTCATTTTTATAAATTAGGTATAATTTGTTATGATGTTATTCATTTTAAAATGTGCAGTCCACAGGACCATAAGAAATAACTCTTTTCTGTGAACTCTTGTAATTGTGTTTAGGAATGGCCAATCAGTGGGGGAGCATGGAACCTAGGAACACAGACATATCCTGAAATTATTATTACAGGGTAAGAACACAACAGAAGGTTTGTGCTTTTACAAACGTTAATATCTTGAACTTTTAATGATGTACATCTATAGGTCAGCCCTACCCATCTCACAATATAGGTGGCTGACTAGGGCATCTGAATATGAACACTCTAACTCCATTACATAACAGAAATTTATATTCTTTTAGGGTGAAATTCCCCCCAGTCCAGAGGGCCTACAGAAGTACTTATGCAGCACTTAAGCTCAATAATAAAGTCTTAAGTAGAATATAGAGCCTTGTGCTCAAGATAGGGTTACCAATTCTGGTTGGACATATTTCTGGAGGTTTAATCACATGACATAATAGTTAATTTATATTAATCTTTAATTCTTGGAGACTCCAGGATGATCCTGGAGGGTTGGCAACGCTAGCTCAAGGATAGGAACCATGGACTGAGACTGCAAGCTAGTAAGGGTCCCGTATACCCCTGAAGAGGGGATCTAAATATCCCCGGGAAGGTGTGGCCAATGCAAGAGAGTGCTGTAGTCTTCAGTGGGTATTAGGGAGGAAGAAATAGCATTAGAAGGGCAGAGAGCCAAGAGTACACAAGCATTTCTGCAGGGGTGGTTTTGTGGTTTATTGGGGGCGCTGTGGCTGGATTGGCGATGGAACCCATTTAGTGTTAATCTCCCACAATTTGTTTGAGTGCTGTGCATTGGTGTGAATTTTACCTTTCAAGCTAGATTGTGTCTGTAATACACAGCATTGCAGTAGAAGAGGGTGGAGGGGGCAGGGAATCACATTTCAGTGACAGACTCAGGAACAATTCTGGATGACTCAGATGCGTGAGTGGAGAAATATTTACAGTATTAAAGTGTTCTGTGGTTTTAAGCACTCATCATGAGTACCAACTCTTGGAATAAGTTTTATTTATTGAGAAATGCCACCCATGTAGAAGTATGAATTTTGTCCATATTGGGATTACTCATCATTTTTCTCCTACTGATAATTCACTTTTTAATTGCCTGTTTTATTTATCCATAGAATGTTAATTACAAAGCATAAGTTTGGATGTGAATTGGTTTGTGCTAACTGCTACAAAATCACGTATTTTACCAAGATAAGCAGCTTGATAGCCAGACATTTTCTTATAGACATAGTTATGAAGAACTAAGGATTAGAGCTGGGCAAAATTTTTTGAACAAAACATTTTTTCAATGAAAAATATAGATTCGGTGACACCAAAATGTTTTCTGAATTCATGTCGGTTTCACCATATTGGTTTGGTATGAAAAACCTTTAAAAAATCCAAAATTCATTTCAACATTTTAAAAACAATATCTTTAGGTTTTTTGGTTCAAAATGACTTTTTGTTTCATAATTTACTTTTATTAAAAAAATAAAAAACTTTAAAAAAATGCTTGAAACCAAACTAAAGCGTTTCATTTCAGGTCAACAAACTGTTTCATTGAACCCAAAATGTTTTTATTTTACTTTTTGATTTGCTGACAGTTTTGAAAATTTCATTTTCTGTTTGATCCAAAATGATTTTTTTTCCACTTTTTTAGAATTGCCAAAGAACAAAAACAGCTCTACCAGGGATATGATTAATCTCTTAAATTTGTAATTGATTAATACACAAATATGACTGTATTGGAATATGTTGAACTTTGTTTCACGAACTAGCATAAATGTTGGATAACTGTTTGTAAGGCGATATTTCTTCAAATACAATTTCAAAGTCATATGGGGCCACAATATCATCTAGTCCAGCAGTTCTCAAACTGTGGGTTGGGACCCCGAAGTGGGTCATGACTCCGTTTTAATGGGGTCGCCAGGGCTGGTGTTAAACTTGCTAGAGTCCGGGGCCAAAGCTCAAGCCCCACCTCCTGGGGCCGAGGGCTTCAGCCCTGGGCGGCAGGGCTCAGGTTAAAGGCCCCACGCCTGGGGCTGAAGCCCTTGGGCTTCGGCTTTGGCCCCCCCACCCGGGGCAGCAGGGCTCGGGTGTGCTCAGGTTTTAGTCCCTCCTCATGGGGTTGTGTCGTAATTTTTGTTCTCAGAAGGGGGTTGCAGTGCAATGAAGTTTACGCCTCTCCTCCCCACATACATATACTAGCCACCCAGCTCTAAAGGCAGCAGTATGCCAGCAGCAGCACAGAAGTGTCAATATCACTTTTCACAGCTAACTTAGTGCCCCATTGCCACCCTTATTTCTGCGTTGCTGCTGCCACCCCAGGGCTGACAGTCAGAGCCCCACCACCTCCAGGTGAGGGTTGCGGTGAGGAAGAAGAGCCTGAGCTTGGACTGCCTCCCAGTGAGGAACTGGGGGAGGGGGGGAGAGCCCGAGCTTGGGTGGCGGAACTCTGGCTGTCCCCTTTATCCACGCTTCCCATGTATGCAAGGCCCTTCTGCACGAGCCCCAGCAACACAGGGCTGATAGCCAAAGCTCTTAAAAAACCAAAGAAACACACACACAGTTTGTGCCTCCCTTGACACATTCCTGTGCCTCCTTTGGAAGTCTTGCCCCATAGTTTGAGAACCACTGGTCTAGTCCCACCTGTGTATCACAGGCTACCACCACCACCCAGCCACCCTCACACGAGCCCCAACAACTGAAATTGGACTAAAGTATTACAGCCCACAGGCATGGGTGGCATGTGAACCGCCTGCTTAGGATGGCTAGCCTCCAATTCCACCCCTTCTGCCCGAGGCCCAGCTCCTTCTACCCGCCGAAGTCCCGAGCCCCCCACTGCAGCTGCTGGCCCACCAGCCCCAGCCATGGGCCACCCTGGCCAGCCCGCCTTAGTGCCCCCAGCCCCGGAGCGCCGAGCAGACCCAGCACCCTGCTGCCCCTGCCAGCCTGCCCTAGCCTCAGCCCCATCCACTTTAGGGAAGAGGAGCAGCCTGGGCTTGGACCGCGGGAAGCAGGAGCGGGCCTCGGAGTGGAGTATGAATGGGGCTGCAGTTTTAATCGTACTGTTACACAATAGATTACCAATTGAAATTTATTAAATATTTTGGATATTTTTCTACATTTTCAAATATATTGATTTCAATTACAACACAGAATATAAAGTGCACAGTGCTCACTTTATATTATTATTTTTATTACAAATATTTGCACTGTATAAATAATAAAAGAAATAGTATTTTGCAATTCACTTCATAGAAGTACTGTAGTACAATCTATTGCGAAAGTGCAACTTATAAATGTAGATTTTTTTTGGTTACATAACTACACTCAAAAACAAAACAATGTAAAACTTTAGAAAACTTTTCAATTTACCTAATATAAGAACTGTAGTGCAATCTCTTTATCATGGAAGTTTAACTTACAAATGTGGAATTATGCATTCAAAAATAAAACAATGTCAAACTTCAGAGCCTACAAGTCCACTCAGTCCTACTGCTTGTTCAGCCAATAGCTAAGAAAAACAAGTTTGTTTCCATTTATGGGCATTAATGCTACCTGCTTCTTATTTACAATGTCACCTGAAAGTGAGAACAGGTGTTTGCATGGCACTTTTGAAGCTGGCGTTGCAAGGTATTTACATGCCAGATATGCTGAACATTCATATGCCCCTTCATATTTCAGCCACTGTTCCAGAGGCCATTCTTTCATGCTGATGATGCTCATTAAAAAATAATGTGTTTATTAAATTTGTGATTGAACTCCTTGGGGAGAGTTGTATGTCTCCTGCTCTGTGTTTTACTGGCATTCTGCCATATATTTAATGTCAGCAGTCTCAGATGATGACCCAGCACATGTTTGTTTTAAGAACACTTTCACTGCAGATTTCACAAAATGCAAAGAAGGTACCAATGTGAGATTTCTAAAGATAGCTACAGCACTCAACCCAAGGTTTAAAAATCTGAAGTGCCTTCCAAAATCTGAGAGGGATGAAGTGTGGAGCATGCTTTCAGCAGTCTTAAAAGAGCAACACTCCAATGCAGAAACTACAGAACCCGAACCCCTCAAAAATAAAATCAACCTTCTGTTGGTGGCATCTGACTCAGCTGATGAAAATGAACATGCGTCGGTCCTCTCTGCTTTGGCTCGTTATCAGGCAGAACCCATCATCAGCATGGATGCATGTCCTCTGGAATGGTGGTTGAAGCATGAAGGGACATATGACTCTTTAGCACATCTGGCATGTAAATATCTTGCAACCCCAGCTACAACAGTGCCATGCGAATGCCTGTTCTCACTTTCAGGTGACATTGTGAATAAGAAGCTGGCAGCATTATCTCCTGCATATGTAAACAAACTTGTTTGTCTGAGCGATTGGCTGAACAAGAAGTATGACTGAGTGGACTTGTAGGCTCTAAAGTTTGACATTTTATTTTTGAATACATAATTCTACATTTGTAAGTTCAACTTTCATGATAAAGAGATTGCACTACAGTACTTAAATTAGGTGAATTGAAAAATACTATTTCTTTTATTTTTACAGTGCAAATATTTATAATAAAAATAAATATAAAGTGAGCACTGTGCACTTTGTATTCTGCATTGAAATTGAAATCAATATATTTGAAAATGTAGAAAACATCCAAAAATATTTAAATAAACGGTATTCTATTATTGTTCAACAGCAATTGTGATTAATTTTTTTAATCACTTGACAGCCCTAGTAGATTTTTGTTTGTTAATAACTGCACTTAAAAACAAAACAACGTAAAACTTTAGCACCTACAAGTCCACTCAGTCCTACTTCTTGTTCAGACAAACGAGTTTGTTTACATTTATGGAGATAATGGTGTCCACTTCTTATTTACAATGTCACCTGAAAGTGAGAACAGGTGTTTGCATGGCGCTGTTGTAGCCGGTGTTGCAAAGTATTTACGTGCCAGATATGCTAAACATGCTTCAACTTGTAGATTGCACTTTCTTTTTTCTTTTTTTATAGTGCAAATACTTGTAATAAAAAATAATAATATAAAGTGAGCGCTGTGCACTTTATATTCTGAGATGTCATTGAAAGCAATATATTTGAAAATGTAGAAAAACATCCAAAATATTTATAATAAATTTAAATGGGTATTCTGTTATTGTTTAACAGTGCAGTTAAAACTGATGAATCGCAATTCATTTTTTAATCTTGCGATTAATCACAATTAATTTTGTAAACATTTGACAGCCCTAGTGAAAACGCTACAGGGTAGCTGCTAATCTGACCTGGGGGAAAATTCATTCCCAACCCACATATGGTGATCACTTAGACCCTGAGCATGTGAGCAAACTCTGGTCAGCCAAGCACCTGAGATGGAGAATGCTCAGTGCCATCTCAGAACACTGGCCTATCCCGTCCCATTTCCAGCCATGGCTATCTCTGATGCTTCAGAGGAATATATTGTGGGAGTGAAGGAAATCCCTTCCTGACACCTGCAGGTGAGCAGCTGAAACCCTGAAGCATGAGTTTTAGGAACATAAGGCGTAAACTGGAAGTGATCCCCGGGCTGTTGAACCCTGCCCTGCACCATCACAAGTAACCCCATCATACAATTGCACTTATAAATTTGTCAGGCTCTCTCTTAAAACTAATTAATTTGTTCGTCCCCATGACTTCTATTGGGAGACTATTTCATAACCTCACTCCTCTGATGGTTAGAAACCTTCTTCTAAATTTCAGCCTGATTTGTTCATCGCCAGTTTATACCCATATGTTTTTATGTCAACATTGTCCTTTAGCTTAAATAGTTCTTTACTCTCCTACATGTTTAGCTCTCTGAGATATTTATAGAAAGCAATCGTATCCTCTCTGTCTTCTTTTTGCTAAGCTAAACGAGCCAAGCTCTTCCAGCCTTCTCTTATAAGATAAGCCCTCCATTAACCTGATTCCATTACCATGATCCTCCCTTAACCCTAGCAGCTCTTCTCTGCACCTCTCCCAGTTTGAATTAATCTTTCTTGAACATGGATGACCAGAACTGTGCAAAGTATTCCAAACAAAGTTTTACCAGAGCCGGATACAGTGGCATTAATACTTCTCTGTCTCTATTGAAAATGCCTCACCTGATGCATCCTGGGATTGTATTTGTGTTTACCCCACAGCCACATCACATTTGTGGCTCATAGTAATCTGTGAATTACCCTCACACCCAGTTCTCTTTCCTTCTCTGTTGCTTCAACTGATGAGCCCCCAGCTTGTAGCAGAAATTCTTATTATTAGTCCCTAAGTGCATGACCTTGAACTTTGTACTATTTAATTTCATCCCATTTCTATCACTCCCATCTTCAGGGTGATCCAGATCTTCCTGTATAATGATCCGATCCTCCTCTGTACTGACAATGCCTCCCAACTTTGTATCGTCAGCACATTTCATTAGCCCGCCTTCCTTTTATGCCAAGGTCATTAATGAAAATATTGAATCAAATTGGTCCCAAGATTGATCCTTGAGGAGCTCCATTAGTAACCTCCCTCCAGTCTGATAGTTCACCTATTAGCACAATTTGTTGCCTTCTCCCATTTAGCCAGTTCCTCAGCCACCTTACAATTCTTGTACAACTCCCCACTTTCATTTAACTAATATTTTCTCGTGTGGTACCATATCAAATGCTTTACTGTGACCTAGTGTGGCAGAATCTGGCCCTAACAGGGGTTATATAAAATGGATCTCTAAATAAACAGTGATTTTCAAAAAGAAGAGTCCTCTCATGACACAGTTTTAAATAAAAACTAATTTGCAGGCCACTTCAGAGACTCTATTCTGTGATATATGTGTCATGTATTAAAAGTCTGGAAATTTCTCTTAACAATGCTTTTTAAAAAGTCTTTTATCTGTGAGCTTTTCAGTTTAAAAACGACTATTGTTAAAGTGTGTGTGAGAGCTCTCTTCTATAAAAGATTAAAATTATTATTATGCAAAATCCTAGACAACAGTCACTTGTTTAGTAACAATAACTGTAGTAACATATGGTCAATGTGTACTTCTTTTGGTATGTGTATACACTACAAATCAATTAAACTGATTTAGTCTATTTACATTGAATTAATTGCCCTTCTAATATAGATATAAATTGCATCATTGCAATGTAATAGTTAACTTCAAGGTTAGACTACACTGGAAGAATGATGGAAAGGTCACCTGAGTACTGTATTATATAATAAATACAGTGACTCATTTCTGCTGTTTGTATTTTCAGTAACTGAGGGTTGAAATTATATGTAGCTATATCTTGTTTTAACCAACATTTAATTTTTTTTAAGTCATGCAGATGGATCGATAAAGTTTTGGGATGCCTCTGCCAGTAAGTTTTTAAACTTCCCTTTCTCATAGAATTAACAAATTATAGTATATAACAATATTGGGAGAGAGGGGGAATTATTTAAGATGGTGGTATCAGTAAGCAAGTAAGAGTAATGGGTGAAATTAAGAAAATAATCATTAGGCTGAATATTAGTAAGAAAAAATTGTGGCAGTAGGATATAAGACTGTAGAATAGTCTCCCAGGGGGAGTGGTGGAAAGGTCAGAACTTGGACATTGAATACTAAAGTGGACAAAGCCCTCTAAAATATGCAGTAGGAGATAATCCTGCAGTGGATCGGAGAGTTAGGACTAGGCTAGATCTAATGGGTCTGTTTCAACTCTAATTTCTATCTTTCTGTGAGTACAGTATATATTCCTACTTGTAACTGGATTTTTTTTTAAAGCTAAACCTGTAATAGTTCATCCTATTGCACATATAATTCAATATTCTTGACATCTGATATCAGGCTCTATATAATCTATTTAGTGTTAAAGCGAATGTACAGTGTATTACATTTATGAGTAGGTGGACTGCTTTGGGCAAGATAAGAACCAAATCTGCACAGGTATGTTTGCACAGCATTGTGCAGCGAGCAGGAGTGAGCCTCCAAGCTCAGGCTGACAGACTTGGGTTAGCGGGGCTCATGGTGTGTAGACAGCACTTTGAAGTTGCAGCTCAGGCTGGAGCTTGGCCTCTGAAGCCCACCCCCACCCCACCCCTAGGCATCAGAGCCTGAGCCAAAACTTCAAAGCATTTTCTACACAGCTTTATGTTGACTTAGGGTAGGAGGTTTGCTCCCATTCCCACTGCATAGCCATACCCTACCAGTCTTCTCTCTGAGATTTATGAAAAGTTCTTCCACTGCACTATCAACACACACCCTTTCAGGAAAAGCCTCAGAAAACAGCAGAGTCCCATGTTGTGCATAGAGTGAGTCAGAAAATAAGGAGCTTGTTTCCCAGAAAAATTTGACTTTTTGACAAAAAATTGTTGCTGAAAACCTACATATTTTGGCCTAACATTGAAATATTTTAGTTCAAAATGTTGCCACTATGCCTCATGGGAATTGTAGTTTAGATGTGTTGTTCTTCCATTCTCCTTTATGACCTGAGCTTCCTGGCTTAACTACATTTCCCATGATGTATCAGTTTCATTCTTGCTGAAGGGAAGGGTGCATCATAGTTCTTAAATGTGGTGCATCATGGGAGATGTAGTCTGACCTGAATGATAGCATAAGGTACCTGAACTAAAATTCTCATGAGGGGCTGTAGCACTTTTATGAATCAAAATATTTCAGTTTTCAGTCAGTCTTTTCTTTTGTTTGTTTTTTCCTATACATGGTATTAATGTTTTGGGGTAATTTTACTAAAAAATGTTATCAGTTAGACCCTAAAGTCTTTCTCAGGCAGTAGTCTTTCTCCTGTCTAGCAGCAATCTCTGCATGTGACAGGCTGGACAGGAGGAAAGGGGAGATTCTCCTTGCCCTTGTAATGCAATACTGGGAGGTGAAGCTTTGTTAGATTTCTAGAATCTTACCAGATGTCCACTGAACATGCTGAGAAGTGATTTTTCAATAATATATCATTTATATTTTCAAAATGTATCAAAAAGACTCTTTCTCATGAAGGGCCAGGCACATGTCAAGTTTGGAGTATATTTCTTCAGCCATTGTTGAGCAAAAAAAAATCTTATGTTTTAAAAAAAGATTTTTGAAAAGAGATTTTTTTTCCACTTACCTTTAACTCAGAAATGGCTGAGGGGTTTTCTGCAAGCTTTCCACAAAAATTGGCAAAGAAGCTAAGCATATAAGAACTTAGCCCTAAAGGAGGATTTTTCAGAAAGTTGTAATACAGTGAAAATGGTGCAGTAAAATACCATATATGTGATAAAATGAGCCTTTAGGCCCAGCCCTGAGTATGCAGCAGTTCATAGCTGTATTGCCCTAGGGAGAAAGTTGGTAATTAGTTGTGATTCAGAGTTACAACTCTTTCTCAGCTTGTCCCTTGCTCCAGTCGGGAAGTAACTTACTCAAGCCCTGAAATAAAGTGTCGTTTACTTGCCCCTATGTTACTGCTCAGCTAACCAGCACTTTGGAAGGAGGGCAAAGCCAAGTGCCCCACCCCCAACTATTTGCCAAGAGTACAGAGTGTAGTAGTATGTGCAGAGCCCTTGCTCACCCTTCTGCACTTGAACCACGCTGCAGGGAATGTTAACACGTAAGGTGGAAAAGAACTCCTTGCGTTGCTGTATTAGGCTGGTTCACAGTCTGCCCCATATGATATATGTAACACCATCTTTGTGTATGTATTTTATTGTACATATATAAACTTAATTATAAAGGAGGAGATTTTCAAAGGCACAAATGGGAGTTAGGCACCCATTCCCATTGACTGTCAGTGGTACTAAGGCACATATGGTACAAATTTCAAAAGTGTCGGAGTGATTTAGAAGCCCAAGTTCCATTTTTAAAAGTGAGTTCGGCACTTAGGGGCTTAGGCCCCAGTGAAAGTCAATGGTACCAAGTCACTCAGGCACTTTTGAAAATGTTACCCTTAACAGCCCGTTGTGCTTTGAAAATTTCCCTATGTTAGCAAATAAACTTTGATGGATGTTGTATCATTGTGGGTTGGGTTAAACCTCTTCGTTATGGCTTGGGCATAATCACCACCTTGCATTCAGGATGAATATAAAGTTGTCATGCAATGCTAAACTATATTATACTGTTCAGCCACTAGATGGTGGTGTGTGTAACATACCTTACTTAAGCTAACATTAGCAAGACCTGGCAGAGCACTAAAGGATCATACAGTGAACGCATCTGGTGTGTATATCTCTGAGAAGTAACATCTGTAATAAGTCTATATCTGATACAGAACCCTGACCTGCTAGTAGCAGCCCTGCAACCTCCCATCGAGAAGAAGCTGCTGCTCCTGATAGATCAGGATGGTGGCTGACCTATTGGTCTGCAGTTAAAGCCATTGAGAATAACAAAACAGAAAAAGCCAAAGAGAAGCATGGGAGAAGAAAGAAGGTTGTGGACATCTGCGAATCCCTCATCTGTTTACATTTTCACAAGAAGACACTGAAACAAATTGACTCTTATACATCAGCTAGAACGGGGACTCCAGCAACAATAATATGATATAGTATCAGAAGGAAACTAGTGCCAGAGGAGAATGAACAGAAAAAACAAAGCAACAAAAGTTGCAAACAGAAGGAATAAAGCAACAAAGATTGCAGGATTTCATCAACATGCACTCTTCAATTCCCCAGAGAACTTTAGCTTTGACGAAATGAGCATTGACAAGTTTTTAAAGTGCTTGTACACAAATGCTAGAAGTCTAAATAATAAGATGGGTGAACTAGAGTGCCTCGTGTTAAAGGAGGATATTGATATAACAGGCATCATAGAAACCTGGTGGAGTGAGGACAATCAATGGGACACAATCATTCTGGGATACAAAATAAATCGGAAGGACAGAACAGGTCATGTGGCGGGGTGGGAGGAAGTGGCACTATATGTGAAAGAAAATGTAGAATCAAATGAAATAAAAATCTTAAATGAATGCACATGTTCCATAGAATCTCTATGGATAGTAATTCCATGCTCTAATAAGGATATAATAGTAGGGATCTATTATCGACCACCTGACCTGGACAGTGATAGTGATGATGAAATGCTAAGGGAGATTAGAGAGGCTATCAAAATAAAAACTCAATAATAGTGGGGTATTTCAATTATCCCCATATTGACTGGGTACATGTCACCTCAGGACGAAATGCAGAGACAAAATTTCTGATACTTTAAATGACTACGTCTTGGAGCAGCTGGTACAGGAACCCACAAGAGCAGAGGCAACTCTCGATCTAGTCCTGAGTGGAGCACAAGATCTGGTCCAAGAGGTAACTCTAACAGGACCGCTTGGAAATAGTGACCACAGTATAATAACATTTAACATTCCTGTGGTGGGAAGAACACCTCAACAGCCCAACACTGTGGCATTTAATTTCAGAAAGGGGAACTATGCAAAAATGAGGAGGTTAGTTAATCAGAAATTTAAAGGTACAGTGACTAGAGTGAAATCCCTGCAAGCTGCATGAACGCTTTTCAAAGACACCATAATAGAGGCTCAACTTAAATGTATGCCCCAAATTTAAAAAAACAGTAAAAGAACTAAAAAAGAGCCACCGTGGCTTAACAACTGTGTAAAAGAAGCAGTGAGAGATAAAAAGGCATCTTTTAAAAAGTGGGAGTCAAATCCTAGTGAGGTAAATAGAAAGGAGCGTAAACACTGCCAAATTAAATGTAAAAATGTAATAAGAAAAGCCAAAAAAGGAGTTTGAAGAACACCTAGCCAAAAACTCAAAAGGTAATAACAAAATGTTTTTTAAGTACATCAAAAGCAGGAAGCTTGCTAAACAACCAGTGGGTCCCCTGGACGATCGAAATACAAAAGGAGCACTTAAAGACAATAAAGTCATTGCAGAGAAACTAAATGAATTCTTTGCTTCAGTCTTCACGGCTGAGGATATTAGGGAGACTCCCAAACCTGAGCCGTCTTTTGTAAGTGACAAATCTGAGGAATTGTCACAGATTGAAGTGTGGCTAGAGGTGGTTTTGGAATTAATTGAGAAGCTTAACAGTAACAAGTCACCGGGACCAGATCGCATTTACCCAAGAGTTCTGAAAGAACTCAAATGTGAAATTGCAGAACTATTAACTATGGTTTGTAACCTGTCCTTTAAATCAGCTCCTGTACCCAATGACTGGAAGATAGCTAATGTAACGCCAATATTTAAGAAGGGCTTTAGAGGTGATCCTGGCAATTACAGACCAGTAAGTCTAATGTCAGTACCGGGCAAATTAGTTGAAACAATAGTAAAGAATAAAATGGTCAGACACCTAGAAGAACATAAATTGTTGCGCAAAAGTCAACATGGTTTCTGTAAAGGGAGATCATGTCTTACTAATCTATTAGAGTTCTTTGAGGGCGTCAAC